ATGTGCATATATGTGTGTGTGAGTGTCTGGATCAAATAAAGTCCATCTTATAACCATCTTTTTTTATGTTATGAGAGACAGCTTCATCTATAATTAAAATGTCCTTTGTGAGCCCAGCTACCGCCATTGATTCCCTCTGTCTGTCTATGTGTGTGTGTGTGTGTGTGTGTGTGTGTATGTGGATGTGGGTGTGTGTGTGTATGGGAGAGAAAGAGATAGAGAGAGCCATGGACAGGGTTATTATCAGCATTGATTGGCGGATCGCTGTTACCAAGAGAAGAAGATTGGAATAAGACGGACTAATGGAAAGAGAGAGGGACTGTGTAGCTCTTAGGAGAGATTGGCTTCAGAAAAAGTGAGGGATGACAGAGACGAGTGGAGAACACAGTTGTGTATTGTTCTGATCCATTATCAGGCCATTTGGTTTCAGCTCATCTATATTGTCGAGCTAAAAGGAAAGACCCTCCAAAGATTCTACACTTGCATCATCAATCTGCGGTCCACTTTTACTGCTATTAGTGGTTTCCTGGTTTCAGATTTTCAAGACCACATTTCAAAGAATTACACTTGAACTAGTGTTGTCAAACAGACGAGATTCTGGCATATAAGAGGTCTTAAAGATGACACCAACCTCTGATATAATGGATGAGCATAAACTTGTAGATATCCTACATTTAAATGCACTCCCTGACTTTGTTATAGCTTTGTCTGCAGCGGGAGAAGCAATCCTGGCATTTGGGATTTTGGAAGTAAAATGTCTTATTTATTTTTTGCAGTGACAGTGACAGGTGACTGACAGTTGAAGCACTTTAGGCTATGATGGACATGAAATGTTTTTGCTTGTTTGGTGTGCTGTCAGATTTCTAATACATTTGTAAAATACATTATGTCAGATTTTGCCAGGATGAAAACGATGAAGTCCTAGACATATTTCTATTATTATCCCTAATATTAGACATTAAGGATTTGTTCTTAGCAAATACAAAGAAATAGTGAAAAACAATGCAGTTTCCCATGTTTTGTAGTGAATCTTCTGTACAAAAATGAGCAACAATATAATGAAGACGTGTTTCTTTGATAAAAACTCGTAGGTATCAGACTCTGTAGATAAAAATGTGAAAGAAGTCAACAATGATGTATAGCAAGGTGTATTTTGACATATTTAATCACCAAGAATCTAATTTTGGTGAGCAGAGGCTAAAGATTATGCTTTGTAGATACAGTGTAATACACATTTCTCCTCAGAATTCAAGGTCAAAATTGTATGAATGTAGCATATATGATGATTTGTTCCCAACTGTCCAGACTACAGTACTTATTGTCTCATGTGGGATCTCAGACGGAGGGTCATTGCTAGAAACAAAAGCATCAAAAGTCTTCTTGTTTGTGGTTCATAATGAAGAACTGCTTTATAAATCAGGAAGTCTGTCTGTCATCATCTGTCATTTTTATTGTGTATAGAAGACAGTATTTCCATACCTCCACGGAGATCAGCAGAGGCCGCCACATATGCAAAAGTGTCCATGTTGATGATGTCTATGACCGGGCTGACCACACGGGTTGGGTCCTGGACACAAACACACACAGTAATGCTGAATTAGGGCTATGAAGCATATAGAAATAACAGAACGAAAGAAACAAAAAGCAGACCATAAATCTTGAAAAAGGAAAACACCACACAAAATAGCAGAAAGAGAAAACGACTGAGAAGGTGAATGTGTTTCTGTGTGCACACCATCAAGTTCCATTGGAATGAATTAATTTTTCGATCCAATCTGAGTGCATGTGTGAAACAGACTGTATATTCCAAGGTCATTATATTGCACCACATTAAAAGGAATTTCAGCCATTCAGCACCAGTCATGCACACAGGACATTTAGTGAGGTGAAAGTGACCTCTACCTTTCTTCATCTCAATTCAGCTCCATTTTATTCACTTTACTGGCATTAGTGTCAGACTGTTGAGCCATATGAAAATAAAAAATACTGAATACACTTCCAAATGAAATAAGAATTCATCAGGACGGAGCTGAAAAAAATAATGAATAACAGTGTCAATGCATATAAGCACTGGCAAAATGTAATAGTTGTGAGGGTTTTCTTTTGAGAGGGTTTTCATTTTATTAGTGTTAGTGTATCCTTTATAAGGAAACAAGGTCAGAACTAATATATCAAGATCACTAAAGTTCTAACACCTCGTTGGCCTGATGATAAACAACTGCAGGGTCCAGGAAATTGATTTTGCTGGGGAAAAGGGGCCCAGAAATGTTGAGAATTCTTTATACATACATGATAATTTGGAAAGTTCACAATGCCTGACTGGGACTGAAATTCAGTATGAGGCCAAACAATCTAAATAATGAGACAAACTGTTCACCCTGCACATTAAAATAAACTGCCACTCGGTTAAACTAGCATTTTACTTAGAACCTACAATATATCTATTGCTGGAAGTTGCATTTAAGCTACATAGTGTAGGTCTAGAAAGTTATGTTTTAAAGCCAAAAATCTCAGCAAATACTAATGCATTTAATAAGTTAGGGAGTGTTATATTGTATGACAATAGTTCCTGTGAATTGAGTGACAGGTTTGTTGTTCCCCAACATTCCTGCTTGTGGTATTCACCTAGCATCATTTTCATTTTTGCAGATGATGCACTTTTGTTAAATGCTGACACAGCTCTTCCGTTTACATCATGTGCCTGTATCTGTTTCACAGAACAAGACAGTGTTGTGAATAATTACTACAACACAATAGCACTTTGAATGACAATGTTTAACAAAGACTTGATAGATAGATAGATAGATAGATAATCTCATTTAAATCTCAAGAAGAAAACAAAAAAGCAAACTTCCTGTTCTCTGTTATCCTGTTCCCACTTTATCCAATCAGAAGAAAGAGGCGGTCCTCTCTACATGGCAGAATAATTTCGTTGTGGTGACGTGGGGAGGAGGGAGTGGACTCTTACTTACTTAGCGTCAGGATAAATGGCTTACTTTTTTAAATGAATGTGGATATTGTGCACAGTTAAGTGAATTGCAAAAGCACTGCTTAATATTTTTGGTTGGTTGATATGTAAGCCTAGCCTTGTTTCCTAAAGTTCACATATTTGCAATGACTTACACATCACACAGGATGTATACAAGTGAAAAAATGATAAAATATTGATGCCTGTAACTGCCAGGAAATATCTTTTGCCAATACCGCTCCCTTCGGTTCAATCATCCATAAGGCCATAAGACTCTTATGGATTTAGCTTAGTTATTGCCTCCTTAACCCATAAATAGCGTCCTAAACCCTTGTAAAAGTGAGAACTGGCAAAATGTCTGCACTTGATTTCCCTCATATTTCTACCTTGATGGCACCATTTACTTTTTACAAGGATAAAAGTACAGAAATCACACACACACACACACACACACACACCAGACATGCCAGACTTGAAGCCCCTGTTAAATCATGGAGTGTCCCTCTATTAGTTTGGTCAAACGGCTGGATGCGTCTTTAGCCAGTGATATTACAGAGCAGGTGGAGCGGTTCTGGACCATTAGCTGCAGGGTCAGTGCAAGGGGACGCAGGCTGCATCCCTCTACAGCTCCAGCCACATTACAAAGCACTGCACCTGCTTTAATAGCTGTTACGGTAATGACACTGTGCAGCACTCAGGGTGAAGCATTCACGACATTACTGTTGTAATTGGATGAGTGTTATTTTCAAAACGCTTGGGAGCAGTTTCTTAATTTCAGCCATTTCTTCTTTTTTTCCACCTGATTTGAAATGAGAACATTTGATGACTAAGCTGAGAGGAAAACTGACCCCCCAAACATACTGCATCATCATCATCATCATCCTTCATGCATGTCTCCTGCATTCGTGCTGAATTACATAGTTCTTTACTGAACATTATTCAGTATGACAACAATGATTCAGTTGGTACATCATTTCGGGGATGGCTTATTTTATGGGATTCTTTTCCTTGATTTTATTGAAAGAGCAGTCTGTAACTCAGTATTATTGGCCAGGACACTCTCGACCAAAAGATATTCAATCTTAGTGTTTAACTAAAAGAAAACAAAACAAAAAGAAGTGCAACATTCGGAAATTAATATTTAAATGCAAGACCATTATTATTACACAGCTTTATCTTTGGGTGTGTGTTTTATCTTGATAAGGCAGTCCAAGTACACTGTAATTTTGGCTCTACACTTGTTAATTAAACCACAGCACCTTTGCTGCACAGGCTAATTTGTCCTACCGATATTAAAACGTGGAACATATCACTTCCTTACTCACTTATCTAGACGATGTTTCCCAGGAAAAGGAACAATGGGGACACACCAGACATAACTCATTGTTATCAATCAATTATTATACACTTTTTAATGTGTTCGTTTTTTAGTCCTCATTTGTTGAGACTGTATATACCCTATAATATATACTGGAGTCAAGTTGTCCCACAATACAATAATAAAGTAGTGAATAAGTAATGTGAAAAACCATGGATACCATCATCTCTTGACCATGACATAAAAACTGCATTGGGTATTGTCTATTTGATGTTAATGCAGCCTTGGTGTTAAGAACAGCAAACTTTGGTGCAATGGACATACTGTAGGTTGAATCAATACTCCACAAAATCAATATGTAGAAGAGAATAGCAAAATTGTTTGTATCTCTATGAGAAAGCTGCCTTTTCTTATTTTGAATCACAATAAAATTAATGATTAGTTAATTAGTTAATAAGCAGACACAAGTGTAGTGTAGTTTAAATTATGGACGGTAGACTAAAATGTTGAATTAAAAAACAAAGCCTCTGTGTGAAAACACAATGAGCAATGAAAGCAAGCTGAACAGAAGTGAACCTGGAAGTTGGGCAGGACTTTAACTCTCCATCAATGAGACAGACAATTATTTTGAAGGGAATAGAACTTTATAGTGGTATGCAGTTCTGCCTGTGTGTGTGTGTGGTGTGTTTACCTGGATCAATACTTCATACATTTAAATCTAAATATATGACTATAAAGTGACTGGACAGACAGTGACAGATGACTCTCCTGCACACTCACACACAGACACACACACACACACCCCTAAACCGTGAGTATGAATATGGATGATGTTGGTATAGCTGCTGGAATCAGATCAGGCTGCGGTGGTTTTATTTATTGATCGCTCCTCTATAGATGGAGATCAAAGGTCTTTAATATTAGCAAAACAACTGTTCACTTGATGCATTGGAGAAGGATGAGACAGGTGAGAAACTGACGAAATGGAAAGAAAAAATAGGACAGAAGGAGAGTAGACGGGCGTGAGGACAGAAGTCAAGTACTGTGATAAAGGAAAGAAAAAGTGGAAGGAGATGTAAAGAGAGGGTAGGGGAGGAGGAAGATGATGTAAGAGAAAAGAAAAGGGAAGGAAGAGTGTAAAGTGTAAAGAGAGCAGAGTACAGGTGAGGAGGAAGTGTGGGGAGAATGGGAGGATGATTATAGGAGACAAGGAGAGGTAAAAGGAAGAACAACAAAATGAGAGAAGAGAAGAAAAGAGGAAAGGAGAAGAATAAATAGTGGAGGGGACATAAGGAAAAAGAACCAGAGAGGATAATATAAAGGCAAAATGAGGAGACAAGAAAGGATAAGTGGTAAAAAAAAAAGAGGAAAAAGGAGAGAACAGCAGTCTGACAGCAGTAATAAAGAAGAACAGATGGAGGTGAAAGGAGGTGCAAAGAGGAGATAGAAGAAGAAAAGAGGAGAGATGTAAAGAGCAGTTACGGTTAGAGTAAGTGAAAGGGGACATGAGGACCGCATAAATAGGAAGAGAAAAGAGGAGAAGAGGTTCAAGGAAAGGCATCAAATAAGGTGATAAAAGTGAAGAAAGGGAGGTGTGAAGAGAGTCGGAGGGCAGAAAATTTGAGAAGTAAGAGAAGAGAAAGAGGAGAATAAGAGATGTAAGGTTAGGGAAGGAAAGATCAGGTGGGAGGCACTAGAGGGACAAGAAAAGGGGACAAGGGGAGTAAGAGGACAGACAATTTAACAGGAAATGGCATGAGGAGATGGGTGTTGTCAGGGGAGGAGAGGAGTCAAAGATGAGAGAAAAAACAGGAGAAGATAAAATGAGAGGAAGTTTTTAATGAATGAGAGAAAAATAAAGTGAGAGCAGGGATGAAGATATAAGATGAGAAAAGAGATAAAGAAAGGTAGTAAGGAGGGAGAGTGGAGAAGAAGAAAAGGGTAAGATTAAGAAAAAAAGAGAAGGTATGAAGATAGAAAGGGGAGGTAAGGAGAGGACAAGGGGACAGAAAAAAAAGGTGAGAAAAGTGAGGCTGAACTGACAAGTGGCAAAAGATGACAGGGGAAGAGAAGGTGAGAGGACAGGAGATGAGGAGGAGGAGAAGAGGAGAGACAAACAGAGGAGAGCAGAAGGAAGGAGAAGGGTGAAGGAGAGAGTGCAGCACTTATTTCTTAATGAGTGGCAATCAGACCGACAGCTATTTTCTCCCATGGCACTATTTCACCTCGACCACAGGAGTCATCACACACACACACAAACACACCTACCCACACACACAACCGACACACACACACACACACACACACACACACATACACGTTTTTGTAGTGCAGTGAAGTGCTCCACATTTTGAGTGGCCTTCCTGAAGTTATTGACACTCATGATCCCATTTACACAACAGTATAACACACACACACACACACACTCCTCTTCAAGGTTGGACATGTAAAAAGTGAGCCAGGATTTGATAGTGAAGTTGCACACATATTGTTTGTAGACACCAGAGCGGGTGTTGTGGTCTACCTGTTTGATCCTCTGCAGCAGGGGGGGCAGCCAGTCCTTGTTGACCTCACAGTGGCTGTCGAGGAAGGTGAGGACCCCTGCCCTTGCAGCATCGGCGCCCCGCACTCTGGACCTGATCAGTCCTGAGTCACAAGCAGAAATTGTATGTTTTTAGGGGATGATTCATACATTTTCACTTCATCCACTATTACACATGTCTCCCCTCCATAATGGTCTGCTTCTCATTTTGGCAAACAGCTATTTATAACATATTTACCACATCTGTTTGAACTTATGTTCCAGAAGCTCTCAGTCCTTGTGGCCTCGTGAACAACTGTTATCATTAAAGAAGCAATTACAGTACAACATAGAACCATCACCACTGACAAGCAGATAAAAATGAGGTTGTGTTTGACAGTAAAGTACAATGTTGTGCTTTGATTTTTGTTAGACAACTATGGATTTTTAAATTTTCCCAGTGAAGTTTTGAAAGGTTTCTAAAGCATCGTTTTTAAGCAAAATATCTCTCTCGATTCCTACGAGATGTCATGAAGCATTTGACACGAGAAACTTGTTTGTAATAAACTCAAATTATATGTCTGGAATATGATCGGAAACAACAGGCAACGATTAAGTAAACTGTGAGTTTTCACATATAAGTATTATATAATATTATAATATTATATAGCTTTTTACTCACCTTTTTACTAATATAATATTAGTAGAAAGACTTTCTGATCATTATTGGCAAATAAATAACAAATGCAAAAATGGAGAAAAAATACATATGAATGGTTGTTATTGTAATGTCCTTTAAGATCCATTTTATAATGAATGATGGTCTAATATTTATAACACACCCTTTTAAACAAAACAATACATGGAACTACTACTACAGTAATAAATGCAAATTGGATTATTGCATTTTAATTTTTACCCAAATAACACATACATATGTGAAACATTATAATGCTAATTTGGAATTACATTCTCATTTTCAGGTTTACATTCTCCTTTTAATAAAGCCCACTATAGACTTCCATAATCTACTACTACTACTGATAATACAAATTATGATTATTGATTTGTTTACTGTAAGTTTATATGCAGCAGGTTTTGTGGTGGTTGACACTTTTGACAAGTGGTTTTGTTAACTTTCCCAGTGAGTTTTCATCTCTGATACACTGCATGCATATAAATTCATACATTCTTTAACATCAGTATCCATAGAGTGCATGAACTTGGATATAGCTGATATTGAACATACAGCCTCGTTCAGCCATCAGAGCTGCTCTCTACTAAATTGAAATCTCCCACTTTGCCTGCTGAAATTGATTCTTTTCAGGGCGGCAGATCGGATAAGACAGTATATATTCAAGTTTCACGCTCCTGAGCCGTGACTATCAGTTACACACACATACACACACACTCCTCCATCCCCTTCCCACACACACAGAGATGCACATTGCCATCCAAACAGCCTCACAGCTGCAGAGGACATAATACTTTCAGGCATTTGGAGGGAATAGAACCCTTAACCTTGACATTGTTAGTGCCTTGCTCTACCTATTGACATCTCCTATCTCTCTCTCCCTCTCACTCTCGCTCGCTCTCTCAGTCAGTCAGTAAAGGGGAAAATCGATGCAGGGCTCTTAGAGGCCCTGACAGACATGGACACAACCTTTTAACAGGCCCATCACACTCTGCATGTGTGTGTGTTAGAGGAAAGGTTTGTGTGTGTCTCTGTGTGTGTGTGTGTGTGAGAGAGAGAGAGAGAGAGAGAGGAAGGGAGAGAGAG